TTCTTCTTAATGGATGTAGAATATTCCAGAATATGCATGTACCATAATTTGGTTAAACATTTTCCTTTGTTGGATATTTAGTTGGTTTTTTTGGGTTTGTTTTATTTTTAGTTTTTCAGTATTAGAAACTGTGCTGTAATAAATTTCCTTGTAAGAGATCTTTGTACCGATTCTGAAAGGAGGCTGAGGGTTTTTGAGAGAAGTGCAATTTAGAATGTTGGTAACTTTGGCTGTCCCAGCATCTCAGTTCAAGCCTTCAATATGGCAATATGGCCCCACCTGCTACTAAAGATGCAAACTTGAGATTTAGCGTCAGACGTGCTGGGCCAAGTTGCCGGCTCCATCTCCTCTCATGTACTTTGTAGTCAATGGAACATTCAATTAACTGCAATCAAAGTAATCAGGCCGTCAATTAATCAGGCCACCTTAAGGAGAAAGAGGAAAGAGATAAAATATCAGAGATTTAGTGAGAGGAGGGAAGAAACTTCCAGGGGCTGTGCTGGGGTCAGTGTACATTCAGTCCAAAGTCGTGTCCTTTCTACCTCTGCGTATTTAGCTCTGAACAATGCGGACCGAAATTCATGATGACCTTGACATCTTATAAGATTCATCAAAGCAAGAGTGCATAGTGTTTGCCAGACAGGATTTCCTAAAACAGGAAATATACATATAAATTTTTTTTGAGATAGAGTCTCACTCTGTTGTCCAGGCTGGAGTGCAATGGCATGATCTCAGCTCACTGCAACCTCTGCTGCCCGGGTTCAAGTGATTCTCCTGCCTCAGCCTCCTGAGTAGCTGGGATTATAGGCACCTGCCACCACACCTGGCTAATGGTTGTATTTTTAGTAGAGACAGGGTTTTGCCATGTTGGCCAGGCTGGTCTGGGTCTCCTGAACTCGTGATCCACCTACCTCAGCCTCCCAAAGTACTGGGATTACAGGCATGAGCCACCATGCCTGGCAGAGGCTCAACCCTTCTTTAAGACATCTCTCAAATTTGTTCCTTCTCTTTGAGTCCCAAGTCAGGCCAGTTCTCACCAATAAACCAGCATTTATTGTCACAGTGCCTGGATGTCACTCTGCCAGCTCAGCATTATTGGAGTCATCCTCCTGCTCCTAGTCTCTCTGTCCCTCCAATCACGCAAAAACACTGCAGCTGGAGTGATATTTTTTTTGTTGTTGTTATTCTTGAGAAGGAGTCTCACTCTGTGGCTGAGGCTGTAGTGCAATGGTACGATCTTGGCTCACTGCAACCTCCGCCCCCTGGGTTCATGTAGTTCTCCTGCCTCAGCCTCCCGTGTAGCTAGGATTGCTGGTGCATGCCACCATGCCTGGCTAATTTTTTGTATTTTTAGTAGAGACGGATTTTCACCATATTGGCCAGGCTGGTCTCGAACTCCTGACCTCGTGATCTGCCCGACTCAGCCTCACAAAATGTTGGGATTACAGGCATGAGCCACTGAGCCGGGCCTGGAGTGATCTTTTAAAAACTCCCTGTAACATGGCCCTCCCTGCTTGAAACATTCAAAATCCCCCAAATCCCATTACCTAGGGAATGAAGTCCATACTTTGCTTCTTAGGGCTTAGAAAATTCTTTCTTCTTGGCCAAGCGTGGTGGCTCATGCTTGTAATTTCAGCACTTTGGGAGGCCGAGGCGGGCGGATCACCTGAGGTCAGTAGTTCAAGACCAGCCTGGCCAACATGGCAAAACCCCGTCTCTACTAAAAAAATATAAAAAAAATTAGCTGGGTATGGTGCTGTTCACCTGTAATCCCAGCTACTTGGGAGGCTGAGGAAGAAGAATCACTTGAACCCCGGAGGCGGAGGTTGCAGTGAGCCAAGATCGCGCCACTGCACTCCAGCCTGGGTAACAAGAGCGAAACTCCGTCTCAAAAAAAAAAAAAAAAGGAAAAAAAATTCTTTCTTCTGCTGTTTAGGGCTCTTTACAGCACTGTGCTAGGTGGGAGATAATGGTGGGCACATGGGAGGCGTTTGGTAAGTTTTTGGCAACGGAGTAAACCTTTAGGAATAAGATGTGAAGCTCTCCCGCTACCTTCCACTGTCTTCAGTTTGAAAATTTCTTTTCTCTCCTTTTGGCTTTAGAGCACTTGAAGTTTCACGGTGCTGAATTTGGAGGCCGGAAGAGGCAGCCAGGGGTGATAACAAATGGCTCAGGAAACCTCAACTCTGAGTCCACCCCAATTTCCGATGCCTGCTACATCGGAGGCTCCATTAAGAAAGCATATCAGCTCTCATGTCCCTGGCTCCCCTGCAGAGTTGCGGACCAAGAACTAGCAGTGGGAATCTTGCATCTTAGTTTGCTTTAATAAGAAGGGGAAATGGGAAGGAGAAGCAGAAAGGAGTGAATGCAGAACAAAGCCTTGAGTGATGTGAACCACTTATGCAGCTCAGTTTTTTTCGTTTGTTGTTGTTTTTTTTTTCCCCGAAACAGGGTCTCGTTCTGTCACCCAGGCTAGAGTGCAGTGGTGTGATCATGGCTCACTGCAGCCTCGACCTCCTGGGCTCAGGTGATCCTTCCACCTCAGCCTCCTGAGTAGCTGGGACCACAGGCTCACACCACCATGCCCAGCTCATTTTTGTATTTTTCTTGTTGTTGTTGAGATAGGGTTTTGCCATGTTGCTCAGGCTGGTCCCAAACTCCTGGGCTCAAGAGATCTGCCCACTTTGGCCTCCCAAAGTGCTGTGATTGTAGGTGTGAGCCACCGCGCCTGGCCTCAGCTGTCTTCAGGGGACCCCTGGGGCAGAGAATACCCCGACTCTCACTGAATGATGGTATATGGTTGTCTGTCAAGAGTTCTCCACTGGGAGTGTGCAGCGTGAGATATGTGAGGGTAATGAACTTGCCACATGGCATTGACTGGCACTAGCCCTGTCGCTTGCCCTCGGAGGATCCAATGATACCAATGAGAGTGAGATCTAAAGCTGGGTGAGGGGGCTGTCTGGGAGCCAGTTCTGACAAGATCGGCTGCTGAGAAGCTCCTCCTCCCTCCCAGCCCACCCCTTTCAGTGTGAAAATGTGCCCTTATTATGGACCTAGTCTAAAAGCTGGTCCAGCCCAACAGAAGAGCTGCCTGCTAGTGCAGCCTGGGATGCTGGGCTGGGCCTCCTGGCACTCACCATGTCCTTCTTGGATTGCTCTTGGCATCTTTCGGGTTATGGAAAACTTGGTGCGGCCCCACCCAACAGAAACTGACTCCTTACATAGCACATAGACAGCTCAACTGTCTCCAGCTTCCCTTCACCCCATCCCCTCCCCTCCCTGGTGGCCGTTGGTTGGTCGTTGACACATTTCTTGAGTCCACCCAGGCTCCTGTCATGCTTCCCCCGGCTTCTTGGAATCCTGCCCCAGTTTGAGGCTCCCCCTGTTTTATAAAATCATTAACTATAAGCAGCTTTGGGCCTTGCAGGCGAAGCAAAGGCCCTCTGCTTTCCATGCCTGGGAGTGACTTGGCTGACCCTTATGGAGTCAAGGGACCCAGAGGAAGCATGGAGGCAGCTTCCCGCAGCCATAGGGAGCCAGTGTTCCATGAGGTACCCTTCAGGCCAGGGGTGTAAGGATAACCCCACCGTGAATAACAACAGCAGCTACTGCTGACTGAATGCTCGCCACATACATGCTAAACACTACGCTAAGGGCTTGAGGAGCATGATCCTGTGTAATCCTCACACTCCTACTCAATAGTTTCCGATTTTATGGATGGGGAAACCTTGAGAGGTTTACGTTACTTGTTTGAGGGTGACACAGCCAGGAGGTGGCGGAGGTGGGACTGTAACTCACACCTGCCAGATTTCAAAGCCTCTGCTCTTAACCTCTACACTGTGCTGCCTTGGTAGATCCACAAAATGCCCTAGAGAGAGGAACAATTGCTTTTTTCTAAGACAGGATCTTGCTCTGTTGCCCAGGTGGGAGTGCTGTGGTGCCATCATAGCGTACTGCAGCCTCTACCTCCTGGACACAAGCAATCCTCCCACCTCAGCCTCCCAAGTAGCTGGTATTACAGGCACATGCCACCACGTCCAGCTAATTTTTGATTTTTTTGTAGAGACACTATCTTGCTGTGTTGCCCAGGCTGGTCTCAAACTCCTGGCCTCAAGTGATCCACCCACTTTGGCCTCCTAAAGGGCCGGGATTACAGGCATGAGCCATTTCACCAGCCAATAATTGCCCTTTTTTTTTTTTTTTTGAGATGGAGTTTTATTCTTGTTGCTCAGGTTGGAGTGCAGTGGCATAATTTTGGCTCATTGAAACCTCCGCCTCCCGAGTTCAAGCAATTCTCCTGCCTCAGGCTCCCAAGTAAGTGGGATTACAGGCACCCACCACCATGGCGCCTAATTTTTGTATTTTTGGTAGAGATGGGGTTTCGCCATGTTGGCCAGGCTGGTGTTGAACTCCTGACCTCAAGTGATCTGCCCGCCTCGGCCTCCCAAAGTGCTGGGATTACAGGCGTGAACCACTGTGCCCGGCCCAATAATTGCTTTTTGAAGTCTTTTCGTAATACTTACTGAACACTTCTGCCTGTACTAAGCTCGTTACATGTATTAGTGCTTCTGAGGCTCCCAGTCACCTCTAAGATATGCCATATTATCTCAGATGGCAGAGGTGGAAGGAAACAGTCTCAGCGAGTTACTCAGCTTGTAAATGACAGTGAAGATTCAACCTGAGTCTGTGAACCTTCAGTGCCAGCATTCTCCTCCCTTGACTCCACCCTCCTACCCCCAATAAGCCCCTCTGTAATTTGCTCTGTCTGGAGCTGCGGCGGTATTCACTATTGAGCCTAGAGGATGCCTGTTTCCAAGAATCTGTGATTTCCAAGCTGATGGGCCATTTTGCTTTGGAGCAGGGAGTAGCTGAGGGAAGAGATGACATGCTGGGCCTGGACGGGTGTGACTTCCTTGCACGGTGAACATTTGGATGGAGAAATGAGATCCAGACTGCTTTTAAGCACATTTTCATTTTCTCCCCGACCCCTTCCAAATTAGGGTGAAGGTTGCCGAACTGTCCCCCTGGCTGGACATGTGGGGTTTGACAGCTTGCCTGACCAGCTGGTGAATAAGTCCGTCAGCCAGGGCTTCTGCTTCAACATCCTGTGCGTGGGTAAGTATTTCCATAGCAGGAAATTCTATTACAGAATATGAATCCTTAATGGCTGGATGTGGCTTTGCAGGTAATTAGGTTAAATAGTGTGTCATTCTGATTTAGTTGCGAGAGCATCTCTCCTCTCTCTTTTATCTCTCTGCCTGTTTTTTTGTAAGCAGCTGGCTGTAATTACTTTTTTCCCCTGGCCAGACCAGAGTATAGAGCCATCTCCTGGGGGGAAACAGCGACGTGAGACCCCATTGACATTTTGTAAGGGAGCCGGCTGGCTCAGTACTGCTGTAGAGTTCATTTTGACTACATAAGACAGCAGCCAAGGCAGAATTAGGAGGGAGGGGATAGCTGAGGGAAACCGCTTGCCCACCAGCTGTGGGCAGTGGGTTGGGTCTGTCTGTTTCCTCTGTACTTTTGCTGTGCTTGGTTTAGTCAGAGGTCAAGTGCAGGGACCACACAGCTGTATGCAAAGTTCTTTTATTCCCTTTACCAACTATCTACTTAGACATTTTTTTTTTGAGATGGAGTCTCACTCTGTCACCAGGCTGGAGGGCAGTGGCACAATCTCGGCTCACTGCAGACTCCGCCTCCAGGGTTCAAGGGATTCTCCTGCCTCAGCCTCCGGAATACATGGGACTATAGGCATGCACCACCACGCCCAGCTAATTTTTGTATTTTTAGTAGAGACGGAGTTTTACCATGTTGCTCAGGATGGTCTCGATCTATTGACTTTGTGATCTGCCTGCTTTGGCCTCCCAAAGTGCTGGGATTACAGATGTGAGCCACCGCGCCCAGCCGACTTTTTTTTTTTTTTTGAGACGGCGTCTTATTATGTTGCTCAGGCTGGTCTTAAACTCCTGAGCTCAAGCAATCTAACCATCTTGGCCTCCCAAAGTGCTACGATTACAGCTGTGAGCCACTGTGCCCGGCCTCTACCTAGACACTTAACCTCAACAGTGGGAACCAAGTCTTAGCCCCCTCTATATGCTAATCACAGCACAAGTAGAGTTCGGTAATATCTGTGAAATGAATGAATGAGTGAATCCCGCAGAAACCATTCATTATGCTTTTCACTTTCTCACATTAGCTCTTTTGGGCATTACCAGGGCTCTGCGAAGTGAGCAGAGAAAGTAGCATTTGTATTCTTATGAAACAGGTGGAGACACAGAGTCTTGGGGCAGGTAAGGGACTTACCTGAGGCAACACAGAAGAAATGGCACCATAATGAGGGCTCAGGCCTGGCTGACCGCTTATTTTTCCCACAGCTTCTCTAACTGCTGCCAGCAGCATCTCCCGAGCACATGAAAACACTTTGGAAACCATTGAGCACCAATCAAACAAATATGAGGGATAATAGTTCCTTCTTTAAGAATCTCTTCTTAGGTCTTAAATATCCCAAATTTGCAAACATGATTATAGCATATAATTTTCACCCTGTAGTGTGGGAAAGCATACCTGTATATTTCCAGTGACCTCCTTCTGAACCTTAATAATTGTATAAATATCAGAATAAATTTGGTTTTCATACTGGCTAGAACACTCAAACGCTTTTGCTAATTGCCTTTTATTTTTGTATAGAATGTATGGGGAACTCGTTCATATAGTAGATCTGAACTACCACTAAATTGGATATTTTACTCTTTAATGTATTCAGAAATTCTGTCTTCTTTTTTTTGAGACAGAGTCTTGTGCTGTCACCAGGCTGGAGTGCAGTGGTGTGATCTCGGCTCACTGCAACCTCCACCTCCCAGGTTCAAGCAATTCTCCTGCTTCAGCCTCCTGAGTAGCTGGGATTACAGGTGCACACCACCATACCCAGCTAATTTTTGTATTTTTAGTAAAGACAGCATTTCACCCTGTTGGCCAAGCTGGTCTTAAATTACTAACCTCAAGTGATCTGCCTGCCTCAGCCTCCCAAAGTGCTGGGATTATAGGCATGAGCCACCGCACCTGGCCTAGAAATTCTGTTTTCTCACTAAGGTCATTCATTTTCTTGGGCTGTTTATATTTTTTTCTTCTCTGTTCCCAGCATTCTTTTCCAGGTCACTTTCTGTGAGAGAATTGCTACATACTCAAGGACAAGTAGAAAACAACAGATGATGGGCAGTTGTTCTCACGAGCTGGGCTCACTCCTTAGCTAAATGATTCATTCCCACACACCAACTTTGGTTTTTGTTATCGTTGTTGTTTGAGACAAAGTGATTCTCGGCTCATTGCAGCCTCAACCTTCCAGGCTCAAGCAGTCCTCCCACTTCAGCCTCCAAAGTAGCTGGGATTATAGGCATGCGACTGGGCTCATTTTTTGTTTTTTTGTAGAGATGAGGTGAAGTTTCACTGTGTTGCCCAGGCTGGTCTCGAACTCCTAAGCTCAAGCAATCCACTTGCCTCAGCCTACCAAAGTGCTGGGATCACAGGCGTGAGCCACAGTGCCTGGCCCACATCAACTTTGGAACCTATCAGATGAAAATATATGCATCAGTTTCAATCAACAGATTTATACTCAAACTTATTTTTTAGATGTGACTTCTACTATGTATGTCCTTGTTCATAGGGAGAGAAATGTACCTGGAGGCATTAGTGAACAAAAGAGTACATTAAAAAAAGAAAGAAAATATGTGCCTCACAGAATTACACATCAAGGACTTTAGAGTCCAGATCTAGGCTGTTAATTCTTCAAATGCTGGAAGTCTAACTCATGGTTATGATTAGGTGCTATTTGGAGAAAAATGTGAAATAACTAGAAGTCATAGTAATCGACATCAAGTGCAAAGACTATCACGTCCAATGTTAGCACTGCCAAATCTCTGTTTAACTAACAAGAGCTCTAATCTTTGGCTGATGGCCAACTTATTTCACATAATATTTGATTACCACAATATTTCAGCACAAACATATCAGAGTCCTTTGGCATTCTTCCCAGACAGAACTCCATATGACCTGTACTGAAGTTGAGAAGAGAAATGACAGACCCACCCTAAGCAACCTTTCTTTTTTTTTTTGAGACGGAGTCTCTCTCTGTTGTCCAGGTTGGAGTGCAGTGGCTGGCGCAATCTCAGCTCACTGCAACCTCTGCCTCCCAGGTTCAAGCAATTCTCCTGCCTCAGCCTGCCGAGTAGCTCAGACTACAGGTGTGCACCACCACGCCCAGCTAATTTTTGTATTTTTAGTAGAGACAGGGTTTCACCATGTTGGCCAAGCTCGTCTTGAACTCCTGACCTCAGCTGATTCACCCGCCTTGGCCTCCCAAAGTGCTGGGATTACAGTCGTGAGCCACCGCGCCCGGCCTAAGCAACCTTTCAACCAGTGCGATTGGATGGGCTAGTAAAGCATTAGGAGGGAGGCCATGTGACTTGAACTGGATCTCTGAGTGGGGAAGTGTAGGGTAATGTGATGTATGGAGCACAGGCTCCCCTAGGGCCCAGAGAAGGAGGCGGCCAAGCTCAAGGCAGAGTGGGTGGGAGAAGTAGTAATCCCCCATCCTCTAGTTTCCACCTAAACATTGTACAGCTACAAATGCTTCCAGTCGCACCTACTGGGATGGAATTGTTCAAGTGCCAAGGACAGACCCTCCAAAGGGGAGGAGTAGGAAAGAGATGCTCTCATCCTCAAGGAGTCATAGACTCTCTTTTTCTCCCCACTTGTCAAGTTTCAGGAAATGGCTGCCTCTGTAGCTCCTCTCTTAGACCCCCAGATGCAACCATTGGATAGACCAGCCCCGACTGGGTTAATTTGATCCCTGTTCCAAAAAACCCTGCAATGCACGCATCCTGCCCTCTTGCCGTGCTCACCACCCTTTCATTGCTCAGAGAACCACAATTTGGGCCAAGGTCATGAGTAGCTTAGAGTAGCTCTGAAGCTGCAATGTCAGCCCAGCCATGGGGCTGGATCCAGTCACTGACTTGGCAAAGGGTCCATAGCTTAGTTGCTGAAGGTCATCTTTTATCTTGCAGAGCTTTTTGTAACCACAGTTTCATGCCTACTGCTTGTGTACATTTACTCCCTTAATGACTTGCAAAAAGATGCTGTTTGGGCATAGAATATATTTCCCCAAAGTATTTTCTTTTCTTTTTTATTTTTTTGAGACGGAGTCTCCCTCTGTTGCCCAGGCTAGAGTGCAGTGGATCTCGGCTCACTGCAACCTCCGCCTCTCAGGTTTAAGCAATTCTCTTGCCTCAGCCTCCTGAGTATCTGGGATTACAGGTGCATGCCACCACACCCAGCTAATTTTTATATTTTTAGTACAGACGGGGTTTTGCCATGTTGGCCAGGCTGGTCTTGAACTCCTGACCTCAGGTGTTCTGCCTGCCTCGGCCTCTTAAAGTGCTGGGATTACAGGCATGAGCCACCACGTCCAGCCGAGAATTTTTAATAATCCAGAACGTAATTTATATGTAAGAATACCAATAAATGGCACCTACAATTCTTTTTTTTTTTTTTTTTTTTGAGACAGAGCCTCACTGTGTCACCCAAGCTGGAGTGGAATGGCACTATCTTGGCTCACTGCAACCTCCACCTCCCAGGTTCAAGTGATTCTCATGCCTCAGCCTCCCTAGTAGCTGGGATTACAGGTGGGCATCACCATGCCCAGCTAATTTTTTTTTTTTTTGTATTTTTAGTAGAGAATGGGTCTCACCATGTTGGCCAGGCTGGTCTCGAACTCTTGACCTCAAGTGATCCTCCCGCATTAGCCTTCCAAAGTGCTGGGATTAAAGGCATGAGCCACCGCACCTGGCCTATTATTCTTTTTAGAGGACTAGGCACACGAGTGAGCATGTTATGACTCCGCATATTATGACTCCTCTCCAATATATTCTCTAGGGTTGACCATAATTACCAAAGAGGTGAGGTTCCTTTCTGTTTACTCCCCATAAAAACACATATGCTAGGCTAGGTATGGTGGCTCATGCCTGTAATCCCAGAACTTTGGGAGGCCGAGGCAGGCAGATCACCTGAGGTCAGGAGTTCGGGACCAGCCTGGCCAACATGATGAAACCCAGTTCCTACTA